GCAGGATTTACCTTCATATTCTATTGCAATCATTATCTTTTTTTTTTTTCAGGTAAGACATTCAAAGGAGGTTAAAACATTTCCCCCATTTATTAGAAGCCTTCAAGCACTTTATAAAGCTAACATTCACCTTCCTGTTTCTGCTTTCCCCAAATCCCTCCAAAACCACATTTTAAGAGTGGGTGCCTGATCCCCCACCTCTAAGATCTGAGCAAACAAGTAATTCCTGACAAAGAAAATTAATATGAAAAGCATAGGGTGATTTTCTCCCCCCTCCCTCCAAAAAAAAAAAAAAAGACCCCTTGCTCCACCCCGCTATTAAACAAAACACAATACCTTTTTCTGGGTGGTACTGCACAGAAGTTGATTCAGTTTTGACAATGTTGTTTAGCTATCATTTGCTATTTTGAATGAATGGGAGCAATCCCCCCTTTTACAACATTTGTTTCCTATTATGGAGAGGTGCAGCAGTTGAGGGCAGACATGTGAAAGTGGCTGTTTGATTCTCTTTTTCATCCCCCTGACCCTGCTTTTGTCCCTCCTCACCCTGGGAATGTCACGCCTCGCTACTTCACTTTGAGATGCTCAAGAAAGTGGCTTTGTTATTCCCTTTTAGACATACACGAAATTGTTCTCATTCCCCCCGCTGTAAAAGATACTTCACATCGGGACTCGGTTCACAAGTGCAATGCAATTTGGCTTAGTCCAACCTTTGTTCTGCTTGTACAAATGAGCGAACAGTGCACACATTATACAGTTGATCTACTGCTGTCTTAACCCCAGAGTTAGGGGCTGGGAGAAAAGCAAGTTAATCCCTTCAATACCAACGTGGCTTTAGCAATATTTCCTCCAATAATAATAACAGATTTGAATTGCTGCTTCTATTTTCACAAAGTGCAGGGTGAAACTTACGGGAAAGGGGGTGGGGGAAGCGAAGCAACAACAAAAATCCCTCCACAGTCCTTTTGCAAATAACTTTCCTAATACATTTGTAGGTTTGCTAATGCTCCGTTTAAAGCCATGCAATTGTCTGTGCAAAGGAGGGATGGGATTTGGAAACTGAAGGCTCTAAAGCCTTGAAATCTCAGAGCAAACCACAGCCAGCAAAGACCAAACGGTATTTAGTGAACTGATTCTAAAGAGGGGGCATTATGGTGAGCGGGGCAGGAACTGTTTTCACAGGCAGTGAAATCGCCTGCTCGCCATGGGTGGGGGTTTGCACTACTTGGGGATGGAGGTCTATTGGGACCTGGCACTTAACAGGGGCTACTGTTTGTTTTGTACTCCATGTGGAGAAAAAAACGAATCTTCCCTACTTTCCAAGTTGTAGGGGCTGCTTAAGAAACACTTGTAAAAGGTGTGGGATGTTGCTGCTCCCTCTCTCCCAACGAGGAAAATACAGAATATTTTAAAAATGCAGGTGCCACAGCCAGAGGCCTTACCAGGCCACAGGGGGTCAGGGGGGTGGGGAAGCACCTCCGAACCTGACCAACTCCCACCATCACCCCCACTGCCACCCCTACCCCCTCCAATATGGATGGGAGTGAAGAGGGAGCATGGGTAGAGATTCTTGCCTTTCTTTGAACCCAGCAAGATTGGCTGGGGAGGATGAACTGAGGAGTACAGGCAATACACTCATCAAAAGTTTCTTTTCAACCTCCCTGTTAGGAGTTAAGGTCCTATCCAATCCTCCTGTAACCCAGTCACCAAACATGGCTCCAAAGTCCCCAGGCAGGCAGTCTGCTCCACTAGTTGGGAAAATAAGTATGCTCCTTTCAAGAGTCCTGGTGTGTGTGTGGGGGGGGGGGGGCGGGGGGGCTGTTGGGGGCGCAGGTGAAGTGGTGGAACAGAGTCCTTTCACCCACAGTTAGCTCTGGAAAGTGCGGCCCCTCCCCTGCCTCCCCCCCCTTCCCCCACCTCCGCCCCCGCAGTTTGATTTCCCGCCAGAGTGGGTGGAAGGGGCCAGCAGCAGTGGGCTTCAACCTAGCAGGCGGGCCACGGTGGGAGGATCTTGGCCTAAAGGTTTTCCCTGATGTGGTGCCCAACTGGGTGCGGGTCTCGGTGGCCCAGGAATCCAAAAGACCATTAGGTCCGGTGGCCCCCTGCAGGGAGCAGGTCCCCTCTGGTCTCCAGACCCAGGACCTTAGAGCCAAGCTGAGCCCTGCCTGGTGCTGGTGGCCAAGATGCACAGATCCCTAGGACAAACAGCCCCCAGAATACTCGGAAGGGCAATTTAAAAAAACCCGATCTCTGACAGGTTGTGGGAATTGGTGTTAGTGCCACATGCCCGGGAACGAAGTCCTTTTGAAAGGAAAGCTAAGTTGTTTCACGCCACCCAAATGCAGATTTGGCGAAGAATGAGGGCTGGGACGTGCAGCAGCGCGGTGCCTTAGCGAGGATTCCCATTGAGAGGGGAGAACTCGGGAGAAGGGAAGGTGGGGGGCGGCCAGGAAAGGTGGCGCGGGCTGCAAGAGACCCTAAACACCTGACATTGATGGTGCGCCAGCCCAGACCTTCTCCCCACCTCACCCTTCTAGCACATTGCACAGCCCATTTGGTGGAGAAGATGGACAAAGTGAAGGGCAGGTGGGGGAAGAGATGCGCAGAAAGCGAGGAGCAAGGGTGCCTAGGGAAGGGGACAGAAGGAGGAGAGGGCGCGGAGATTCAGAGGAGGGTGGGGAGAAGCTTCGGCAGTGGGAGGGAAGGACTGGGGGGAGAAAGGAGGAGGAGAAGTGGGGGGGAAAGGAGAGCTGAGCTCCAGCACTCCCGCAGCACAGAGTTCGCTTTCCAAGTGGGGAAGGCGGGGATTGTTTTTGGCGCCTAGGAAACCTTCTGAAGCTGCTGGATACTTTCCCCCCACCCCGGCCGCCGGTGTTTGGTAAATATTAACAAACCAGGGCTCGTTCCTTTCTCGAGTGTGGATGTCTGGCCGGCCTGCTCTCCGGAAGGTTTCCGTCCTAGAGCTCCCGCCCCCGGACGCCGGCCCGCCGTTCACCGCGCTCCCGCACACACACACACCTGCTTGACAACAGAAGGAATCAAAATCAATATTGTATTTGTCACCTCTCTGTCTCCTTTTGACTCCCCTGGCAGCCCGGGTGCCACTGGAGCGAATTGTGGATTTATGGAGGGAAATTAGCATAAATTATTACGAAATCCATAGCCGTGTGTGGTCCAGCTTGTGGGAAAGGAGGCTATTGTAAACTCTCCAAGCAGAAAGGTGGTCGGCGGTGGGCGCAGCGGAGGCGATGAATGGCTATGGCGCAAGAAAGATTTCCATTTGGTTTGCACATGGGCATAATTGACTTATGTGTATTTTATACAGTTTTCCCAACAACTCCCTAAGCCTCCGGGTCGGTGCCCCCTCCCCGAAGCTTCTGTTTGTTTTGGGTTCTGTACAATAGACTTGGATGCACTTTTCAAGATTTCTTAAAGTGCTCCTTCCCCCCTCTCCTTCATAATAACACTCTTAAAAGGCCATAAATAGCATGCAAGCCCTCCCGCCTCCCCCTGGGCTTTGCAGATCTTCAGTAGGCACCAAGACACAGGGTTGTAGCAAAAGGGCTGTTTTAAACGTGCAGTTCCCAACTCTTCAAACTTGTGCCTTTACCGGTTTAATTCTCTTCACTAACGCTGGGCATAGGCAGTGGGCTTCACCTACCCACATCCCCCCACCATAGCCAAACTTTGAAGAGTCCTTGGGCACGAATTCCTTACTTGTAACTTTGCATGTCCCAAACTTGGTGGTGACAACGTTCCTGGGGAGATAGACAAAGATTTATTCCCACGTGGCTTCTTTTTTTTTTAACCCAAAGGTTTCCCCCTCAGAATTTAGTTAATCTTCTATTTACTCCGAGCAATGATTTCGACAGCCATACAAAGGCCCTTTGCAAGGCAACAAAATGCCAATTGTTAAAACAAGAAAACATTTCTCTCCCCATCCCCCACCCTCAATGTGGTGTGTGTGTGTGTGTGTGTGTGTGTGTGTGTATGCGAGCGCTTACAGATGGACACACACCCGCCCACTGGTAGAGAAAATCTTCCTGGCTGTCACTGGGGAACAGAGACCTTTCACTCCTATAGTTCCATACCCCAAATCCATTCCCTCAATGTCTTTCTGTATTCTATATATCAGTGTCCACATATTTACCAGGAGGACTCAGACCCTGGCACCACTCCTTCCCAGGAGCACTCCTGCCTCGCCTGCAGGAGTTGTAACTCTGAGGCCTTTGGAAAAGGAGAACTGTGGACCAATGCCTTTCCATCTGGGAAACACAAGTCCTCACCACTGCTCCTTGCCAGAGGCCCCTCAGGCTCTTGAGGTCCCTCAGGCTCCTGCGCTCCCCAGCTCCTCCCATCCTAGAACCCTCAAACCTTACTGGGCCGCACCTCCTAAGGAGCTGAAGCCACAGCTCTGCCAGGCTCCGCTGCCTCCAGCCAAAGCTCAGCAGAGGTCCCTCCCTCACCACAGTTCTTTGGGTTCAGCAGCTGAGGGTTGATCTGCCCTTCAGGAGCCCTGCCCCCAGAGACAGGTCAGCATCCCTCCCTCACCCCTCCCACCCACCTCCTCCTCCTGGTTATTTTTTCCGAATTAAGAAGGTGACATTATTCTTTCCTTCAAGCACTTCTGCTAATATTGAAAAACGTGCGCTTGCATCTCAAGTGAGGCAGCCCAGACACGAGAGCCATTTCAATATTAATGAAATTGTTTAATCTCCTAAATTCATCGTGTTTAAGTTACGTTTTGGTGAGTTATTGACCAACTCTGAAACTGTGGTTAATGTAGGTGTGTTTGTGTGTGTGTGTGTGTGTGTGCCTGTGCGCGCGCGCTTACAAGCTGGAAGATTATATATAATAACCCCCCATATAATAGCTCCACTGGTCATGCTAATGTCACTACAAGTATCAAAACTCCACACCCAGAACTGTCCCACCACCACTATCTCCTCATCCTCCTCCTCCTTAAAAGAAAAAGAAAAAACATTCTCACATTTCCCGACTGAAGATGATTCAGTGTGGGCTGCAGGTATTGAGTTTTTAACAACACGGTAAAATAAATCTCATTTAAAAACCATAAAGGTGGAAGAATATGCAGACACCAGTGGGAACTCCTAGAATCTACTCAGACTTCCTGCAAGCAAGTGGGGTCAACTCACTCTCATAGCAATCTGATGATGATGACAATGACGAGGACGACAAGACCAACGGCGGTAATAATGATAACAATAATAATAACAGCTCATTGAACCTCCCAAGATGAATCTGAACAGTAGGGAGCCTGTCACCTTGCACCAGGCAGGGTGACCCAGGGCATACCCCATCCTCTCCTCTCTCAAAAGAAAGTTAAACTCTCTGGTCTTTGCAAGTCTAGAAAGTACTGCTGTTTCAGCAGGGCCTCAGGCAGCTCTTGCTGGCCTCTCTAAACCCTAAATAAATTCTCTTTATGCAAAAATCAGGGGGGAGGGAGGGGAGAAAGTTCCACCTGTAAAATGCAAACTTCCAGGCAACACCTAACTACCAAAATTTCAAACCACCTGGGAGAAGCGAGAGCCTGCAGTTCACCTGGTGACAACGTGTGTCAAACAAACGCAGACCCTTCCCGGGTCTGTCCCAGCAGCCCTGGAGGCTTCGTCCTGTGTCTATGCAATTCTCAGAGAACTTTTAGAGTGAAGACCTAGCCTATTCGTCCAGATACACTACTTTAATCTTTAAAAAAAATTTTTTTGTGTCAATACAGTTAGGTTCAAAACGGGCTCTTAGGGAGCTGCCCACTATATTTTTCTAAATGTTCTTTAAAACCACCACTTAAAGCTACACACACACACACACACACACACACACACACACACACACGGTGCAGAGTTAGGGCAGCAGCCTAGGAAGGTCAAATCAAACTTTGACCTGCCTCTTGGAGGATTTGGGGGCGGGGTGGGGGGTGGGGGGGTATTTTCATTATCATACCCCATGCAACCAGGCCCTGGGTAATGCCAAGCGCAGGAAGAGGGTCAGCTTCAGGAGGAAGCTGAGCCTGAAGTTAGCTAACAATACAAACCCGATACAATGCGGAGGAAACAGAATACTCCGGCAAGGCAATTTCCATGTCAAACATCATTCCCGCGCAGGCAGCTTGCTCTGTGATCCCGAGTGGTAGCCTGGATCCCGGCTCCACGGCCGCCGCCGCCTCATACCTTCCCAAGTAGCACCTTGGCCGGCGCTCCCGCTCGCTCCCCACCGGCGGTCCGGGCTCTCCCCGGTCCGGAGCTGGAAGTGGTTACTGCTGGCCCAGGTGTCCATGTAAATAGGTGCGAGAGAAACCGGAGCTGGCCGGGCTCTCCCCCTCGAGCGCTCAATCCCCTCCCTCCGCAGCCCCCGCTCCCGCCCCCCCCCTCCTCCCAAGGCGATTGTCATATGATAGCTAAGAAGTGGCACATTAATGAAGCGCCGCTACAGGGGTCTTTTCTGCTCCTGTCACCGCCTAAAACTATCAGATGGTTTGAGGGAGGACATGGAGGCAGCCACCTAGCTCCGCGGAGCCGCCGCGCAGCCCACAGCAGCGCCTTCCGGAGCCCCGAGGCCGCCGCTGCCCCGGTCCTGGGTCCTCGCCGAGACTCCGCGGCCGAGCTCCGCCGCCAGCGGAGCAAACAGCCGGGAGACCCGCGGACCGGGAGGCTCCTAGCGCTGCCAGGCTCAGCAGAGGAGCTCGGAGATTTGCGGAGCCCGACGGAGCCGGGACTGTGCGCCCGCCCGGGCTTCGGGCCGGGAGGGACGCGGCGAGCGGCAGCGCCATCCCGGATGCGCACGCTCAACTTGGAGCAACTTTAAGGTGAGCTGCTCTTTGGGTTGCATCCCTGCCCCGGTCGATTCCCCATCCAGGTCCGGCTTAGGCTTATTTCCGTGTTACTCTTGCAAGGATCTCGCGGTCCTCATCCCCCGCCCTCTCGCTGCGCGCCACTCTGAGCAAAGTTGCTGGCAAAGGGAGCGCGGGCGCGGGCGGGAGCGGGCTGGTCCAGCGCCGCAGCCTCTCCCCTTCATCCTCGAAGCCTGTGCTCGGCCTGGCTGACCTCGGGGTGTCTGGGCATCCATGCCCCCTTCTCCCCTTATCTCTCTCCCCGTTCCCAGGTCTGAGCAGCCAGCCGGCAGACCCCGCGCGCGCACCTCGGACCCCGGAGTGAAGAAGGGCTGGGGGGTGCGATCCCAAGAAGATGCCTCGCCCCGGCCGCAACACGTACAGCGACCAGAAGCCGCCCTACTCGTACATCTCGCTGACCGCCATGGCCATCCAGAGCTCGCCCGAGAAGATGCTGCCGCTGAGCGAGATCTACAAGTTCATCATGGACCGCTTCCCCTACTACCGGGAGAACACGCAGCGCTGGCAGAACAGCCTGCGCCACAACCTGTCCTTCAACGACTGCTTCATCAAGATCCCGCGGCGGCCCGACCAGCCGGGCAAGGGCAGCTTCTGGGCGCTGCACCCCAGCTGCGGGGACATGTTCGAGAACGGCAGCTTCCTGCGGCGCCGCAAGCGCTTCAAGGTGCTCAAGGCGGACCCGCTGGCGCCCGGCAAGCCGGCGGACGCGGCGCAGTTCCTGCAGCAGCAGGCCAAGCTGCGGCTGAGCGCGCTGGCCGCCTCGGGGGGCTCGCCCCTGCCGCCCCTGCCCGCCGCCGCCGCCGCCTACAGCCTGGGCGGCGTGGCGCAGCCCTCGGGCTTCAAGCACCCGTTCGCCATCGAGAACATCATCGCGCGCGAGTACAAGATGCCCGGGGGGCTGGCCTTCTCCGCCATGCAGCCCGTGCCCGCCGCCTACCCGCTCCCCAACCAGTTGACGACCATGGGCAGCTCGCTGGGCGCGGGCTGGCCGCACGTGTACGGCTCGGCGGCGGCGGCGGCGGGCATGATCGACCCGGCCGCCCCCATCTCCATGGCCGGCGGCGGCGACTACGGCGCCTACGGGGTGCCGCTGAAGCCGCTGTGCCACGCGGCGGCGGGCCCCACGCTGCCCGCCATCCCCGTGCCCATCAAGCCCACGCCGGCCGCCGTTCCCGCGCTGCCCGCGCTGCCGGCGCCCATCCCCGCCTTGCTCTCGAACTCGCCGCCCTCCCTCAGCCCCACGTCCTCGCAGACGGCCACCAGCCAAAGCAGCCCCGCCACCCCCAGCGAGACGCTCACCAGCCCGGCCTCCGCCCTGCACTCGGTGGCGGTGCACTGACCCGCGGCGGCTCTCTGGTTCTCCTCCTCCCCGCTAGCCCACACTGGCCTCCCCGGGCTCCGAGTCCTGCCCTCCCAGACCCGGGGCCGCCGCCCGCCCTACCGTGTCAGTGCGCTCCCAGCCAGCCGCCTCTCTTTCCCGCACCACAACTTTGTTTGGGACTCCGAGACGAAACATACAAACTTGCAGATGGGCCTGGAGGCGCGTGGGAGTGGTCCTCGCCCTCACGCGAGGGGAAGGCAGGGGCACCTGAGCCAAGCTGTCCCATCCCCGGGGCCCTGAACCCCGCACCTCCCATCCCCTCCCACCCCCCCTCATCTAAGAGGCATGGGAAATCCTGGCTCCCGCCTTCACCGAGAGGAGCGCATCTTCCCTCCGCTCGCACTCGGCGTGGCCCCGAGCCTCCGCACAGTTTGTTCCAAGACCAGAGAAACCGGCTCAGAGGTGTCCTCCAACACACACATCCATCCGAGGGCCGGATCTCTCCGTTCCAGTCCTGGAAATCTGCTGCGGAGAGAGACCGCTCCTCTTCCCACCCGGCTCGCCTCCGCCCATCCGGCAGGGGCTGGGCGGACCGCAGCTGCCCGGAGTAGCTAGCGGGCTTGCCTCCCCTGCTTCCTTCCGCAGATTTTTTTTTTTTTTTTTCTTTCTTTGCGTTGGGTGTCTGGAGGCTCTGGGCCTTGGGAGTTAGGGGGAGAGGCTGCCAAGCTGGGGAGGAGAACGCTTGTCTGGAACGCCAGCGAAACAAAAACTTAAATGTAACCTTGTGTTGTTTACAAAGCGCCCGGTAAAATGTAAACAGTGAACTTGAATCTGTATGGCTTGGCGGCCGAGGGGGCAAAGCCCACTTTACAAGTACCTGTTGTAATGTGAATGTTTACTCTTTATTTCTGGCTAGGTTTGGGGGAGGGGAGAGAGGGAGGGGAAAGTTAATTGGGATGTTAACTTCCCGATTACTTAAGATACCTTTATAGCTATTTATTTTATTGTTGGGAAGGGGGAAAACGAAGTAAGCCCAAACTAAGAAAGCATCAAGGGCAAGCCTAGAAGAAGTGAGATAAGCTGACTGGTAACTTGGAGGAACTGTCACCGGATAGGTCTCCCAGGGCCTAGTCCTCCTGTTTGCTACAAGTAGTTTTCCAAGAAGCTAAGGGCTGCAAGGAGGTGTAAATGCTTGTGAATAGGAATGATTATACACTGTGTAAAATGCACTTTTGTTTGCTATATTCCTTTAGAGTCTTAGGTAATTTGCTGAGAAAATGAACTGTTGTTCTGGTGTGATCTGCTTAAGTTAAAAAAAAAATACAAGTTGTAGTGTCATCAGAGCTGTACAATTTTTATCTTTCGTTTTTTCTCCCTCCTTGTAGAGAATTAGCATGACATTTTAAATATTGATGTTCTTGTTCCCAGCATGCCTGTTTTAAGACAGAAGATATTAAGAAGAAGGTGTCTACATTAAATTATGAACCTAGTCCAAATAATATTTTCTCATTAAAATATGTGAACTCAAGTTTTAGTTCTGTGTGGTTTGGAAGTTTCTGCAATCACTTTCAAAAAATAGAGGTAGTGTTTCCCTAAGCATGCCTTCTGCGGCACATTGTCTGAGTAGTTAGTCTTGCTCAGATCTTATTTTCAAAACAGGTGAAGTTCTCAGGCATTCACAGACTGGGAGAAAAGTTATTCGGATGGACTCTTGGCTGCAGAGGGAAAGAGGGAGCAGTCTATTTTCAGTGTAGAGTAGGTGCACAGATGTAGTGCTGAGAGAAAGACTGCATTGAAGAAAAGAACAGTACTTTACATATATTTTGTCTCTCTTAAAATATACATTTTACACAGCATAACCAGCACTTACATAAATGCAAAGCCTATGTAGAAATTAGGTAGAGGTGATCAGGTAGATGGAGACACAAAACCAGACTTGCCTACACAATGTGTACATCCTGACACATTGGACTTTGGAGTGAGGAGTCATTGCCTTGCTCCTTTAAATGATTGTAGTTGTCGAAATTTTCTTTTTTGGAAGTTGCCTAAAAGTCCACCTTGCATGTTGAAAGCTGTTCACTTTGAATTGAACAGATTTCTTTTTACTCCTTCCTGTGAGAAAATAATGTTCGGTGCATTTATTTTAAAGAGGTAAATGAAGTTACTTAAAATGCTCCACTCTTAAGCATTTGCTTTTCTTCAGATATTTGCAGAGAATTAAAATTTGCCAAGTATTTGTGGCTCAAGGATCATTGAAACTTTAATTGAAGGCCTCACAATATTTCCAGAGCCAGGGGTGTATTCAACTAATGAAGTTGCAAGACAAAGACAAACTTAAATAGTGATTAACACTTTACTGTGTAAAATGATTAAACAAGAGACTGTGCAATGCAGGGAAGCCCGCATAGAAATCACGCTCTATAAGGAGAATCCTTGGCACCTGCGACCCTTCAATATATTTGGAGGGCTATCTGAAAAAAAAAAATTTTTAGGATTAATGCAAAGGGTAATTAATCCTGTTGTGACCATTTTTTTTTTTTAAAGGAAGGATCCCACACACAGCCAAGAAAGAAAAAAAAGAAAGAAAATAAATGAATCATTGGACTGATTAAAATGCATGAAGCTACTAAAGCTCATCAGACAGGGGACAACCAAACTCATTCATCAAGCCCAAGTCACAATTATATCAACAAGATCAACCAAAGAAAGCCTGTAAAACTTGTCCATCCTGGGCTAGGAAATTCTTGAAACTTTGTTCTTAACAATAAGTCCTCTGCGTTAAAAAAAAAAAAAAAATCAAATACAGTTTCATCATTTCCTACAAAATAAAATTAAGACCACCTCTGGGATATTATAATTTCATCGATTTTACTAACACTGAATTCAAAATGGGAATGAAGGAACTATATAGACATGGGTCTCAAACATTTTACAAATTATCAACTTAGCTAGTTAGATAAAATATTCTTCCTAGATTAGCCAATAGGGTTCGGAGTTAAGTGGTACCGTATATACATACATATATACATTCAATAAACGGAAGTAAAGAAGATGCAGATCTTATTTCTGAGTTTTAGCAAAGGAGTGGTTTCAAGGCAGCACTTGAAAATGTCCTTTTCAGCCGGTAAGTTCGTCATGGTGTATTGCAAAGAATGAAATAACTTGGGCATTGTGAGCTCTCTTTTCACCATCGCAAGCATCTCCTCTCAGATGAAGTTGAATGAGTAAAGTGAAAAAAAAAAAAAATCCATTGATGATATCTTGACCTTGATGAGAAATCCAAAGGCAGCCCCCAAACACATGCCTCCACCCCACTCTATCCTCAGCTTTGAGACTTACACCCTGTTTAGCTGAAGTGCCCCACAAATAAGGAAGTTTATAACCATGATACCTTCAATGGCTCTCTTTGTCATGTTAAATCTTTTCACCTGGCTCAAGTCCAAAGTCAATACACACAGCTTCAAAATAAAACTGGCAGAGACACCCCCAATACAGGGAGATGTGTGCTCCGGGTCTTATCTTAAGAATCCATTTTCTATTTTGTAAATTTGGGCAGGATTTGTTTTTAATGTGGGTGTTTGATTTTGGAAACTTGGCTTTTCTGTTACTTTTGCTTTTTAATATGACTCTGTACTCAATTGAGGTTTTTAACGGCTTTTCTGAGGTTTGGAGAAATGCTTATACAATGGATGGATTTTGTGCCCTTTCTCAAGAAAGAAGCTACAGAAGTTCTCATTAGTCCTATTGCCCGGGTTGGGGTTTGGAAAAGTGTAAGACTAGCAGAAAAGGTACTAGTGAATGATCCTCAGGATGGCTTAAATATTAGAGCAGCTAGTTCAATGCCTTTGAAAGAAACAGGAACACTGAGTGTTTGGAAGCATCAATGTCTCCAGGTGCTGGAGAGGGGTGAAGCTGGGGGTGGGAGGATGAGGAATCTGATGAAGTGCTGCAAACAGGTTTTCCATTAGCTCATGCAAAGTGGGGAGGGGAAAGTAGGGTTTTACTTTCACAAAAGGCAACTAACTCCCAGTTATAAGATATCCATTTAAGAAACGGGAAGAATCTGGGTCTGCTCTAAAATTCTTAACATAAATGTCAATTAATTTTTTTTCTCTCCCAACACCACATATGCACAGAGACACCCTAACAAAACAAAGCAAAGCAAAACAAAACAAAACAAAAACAACCCAACCCACCGGCTGTGAAGCCTCAAAGGGGATGCATTTGTTTCTTTTAAACTAACAACAAATTATCTAATTAATATGTTTCAATTACAGCATGAAAGGCCCAGCCCGGGGACCGCCCGCCGAGGGGGCACAATAGCCCCAGAGCCCACTCTAGGAATTTACAATAACTTCACATCTGTTTCTTTATTTTCTACTTTTTGAGTCTAAAACTCCTCTCAAGATCACTTCAAACCACGGCCCGAGTTATGAAATATGTCCCCGTGTTAAAGGGGGAGGAAACTTTGCCCACAGATGCTTCATTTGCAAGAAGAAAAAAAAATGTGAAAGCCCATTGAAGAGCTTTAAACAAATATATTAGAATTCTGTCACTTTATGCAATTGAGTAGATCAAATGAAGGGTCCCGGCCACTTCATTCACTCTCATTCACTCGAATAGAAAATGCAAAGAATAGCAACCCGAGACTGGGCCACCGATGTAGATTTAGCTCCTTTTTACTGGGAGACAAAAAGGCTGAATTTTCACAAACACATTGCTGACTCGGGGACTAGGAAACCAGCACTGGAACCCCTTTGGAATTTAAATTCATTTTATCTTCCTCTCCTTTGCGGGATCTGTTTGCACTACAGTGCAAGATGCAGCAGGCATCCCCTGGCTTCTGAAAAGCGGGGGAGGGGAAGACAGTGCGTGGGGGTGGCAATGTGGGCCTCCGGATTCCCAAGGAGCTCTGGGTGATGGACTAACACTCAGGGCTGAGTTAATAACTTTGGTTTAAACAAATCTTTATCTATATCAATATACACATCATTATAGTACACACATCTCCAAGTCTCTCACCTCCTTGCTTGGCATGGATTATATAAACAGCTTGTTTTCAAAGATTGAAATTGCACCTGGGTCATCCAGTTTTCTTCTTTCAACT